AGTCCTCAATCGTATTGTGTGCGAGTACTTAAAGCACTATACCGGAGTTTTCTAAAAAACACCTTCATCAAGGTTAGAACCCACGACCATTCGCTTGTATATTGCAACATCAGTACTGAGGTCAAGGCAACCATCACCATATAGAGCAAGATAGGGCTCCTCTATAAACCCGTATTCTCTAACAGTGGCACTGATGTACTGGCCGAGACTCCAAACGCCCTAATAGCATACTGTTGAAAGATGCATACGAAGAGGTACTCAGACAAAAATCGACGATTGTTGTTGCATTTTGCGGCGGAGCGATGGTACAATTTGAGGAATATTTGGTATCACCAAGAAGTGTAGTACTCTTCAATGATTTCTCCAACTAATGCGAAGAGATCGAGAGAGCCCCGATCAGTTAAAAAGAAGATACAGCGTAATCGAAAACAAGTCCCGCCCTCCTTAGTTTCTCAGCGCATACAAATATTATGGTTAAGCACTCGGTGATCTCTCTCCAGTGTTAGCTGGATCCCTCCTATACTCTCCCTCATCGCTGAGCTTTAGACATACGTAGGGAATCGTATATATAGAAATGCGCTAGCAAATTCCGATATGATACATTTTCAGATATTTCTACGCGACACCCCACCGTACCACCATGCTCAGCAATCTTGCAGGTCTTCGTTGAGTTGGTCTCCTTTTCTCTCTTACGACCAATACGAATGCCAGTAGGAACGAAGCCGACATAGGACAGAGAGATGATACGTCGGGAATAAGTATTACCACGCCGATCGCAGGGGCACACTAGTGGAGAATCTACCTATCTGGAATAGTGATGAGGATGAGAGCCAAGTTTAACGACGGGAGGAAACCCTAAAATGTCGTAGTACTCGAGACTTAGCACATCTGATGACAGAATATTGTAAAGATCCGTTACCTACCCACTGTGATGCCGTTACCAAGCTCAACCTCCCGAACCGGCTCGGCCCCGCCGTTCAACCTAGTTATATGCTTGACGTCGTGTATAATCAACGACGTGATCAGTCATCCGAATGCAATACTAATATCGATCGCTTTTAAACGTGGTTTTCACACATCACTAGCTTAGCGTTCGAAGAGCCGTAGTGACAGATCCAACGGGATGATCCATGCGCATTATTACCCGATGGTGAGACTGCTGAGACTGGTTTGACCTCCTAGTATCAGTGCATGTGTGTGAGTTTGTGTTGTCAGAAATTATTGGTCCTGAACATATAAAAGCCGACCCCTGTATGGCGAGAAAGCTCAACAACTGCCCCCCCCCCGACAACAGCAAAGACAAGGGGAAGAACGTAGTATCGATTCCACAAACGGTAAAGTACAATAGCTAACTCCGGTATGCATTGTGCCGTAAGATACCACATCGTGGAAGCTGGTAAACCCGGTGCATAAAGTGGTGCACACGAGTTAGTTAAATCGATCACAAAGGCGCGCGCGAAAAACGTTGTCACCCCAACTGAGTGGGTGCACTGGAACTCTTTACTGGGTATGCGGGTATGAGCGACGTGAACACTATAAACTGAGTCTTATTGTTATGGATATCTGATCTAGTCGTGCTGAATTTATCTGAGTTGGTCCGGCAAGAGGGTCATGGGCTACTAACACCGGTGAGCCCAGAAATTAAAGTCGACATAGTCGAGGGTATGAACAGGAATGCTGCTGTTGAGGAAGTTGTTGAGGTTACCAATCAAGATGTCTGCAACCGCTGGATTGGGGGCTCTCTTCGCCAAAAAGAAGAAGAAGGTAAAGTCGTTGAATATGACGGCTAAAATGAAGGAGGAGGCCAAAGTGGAGGAGACCAACGAGGAGACCACTGAGGAGCACAGTCTTGAGGTATGTCCTGGTTGATGATGGTGATCATTATCGCTCTGAATATGCATTGATAGGACAACTTCACCGCAATAGTGAGCGGAGCTGAACCTCTGGTGAAAACCGAGACCAAGATTGTCAAGACGGATCTCATAGTGAAGGAGGACGAGGCAGATGCCACTGAGCAGCCTGAGCCTGTTGAATCTAGTGAGGGTAACGTGGGTGGTTTGATCAGTAGTTTGCCTCGTTTATTTGCCTCACACGTAGCGATGAAGAAAGGCTGGAGTAAGACGCCTGCAGAAGTCACGGCTGAGGTAGAGGAAGAAGAGAAGAAACACGAGATTGAGGAGGCTGAGAGGTACTCGGTGGAGCTTGGCGATTCCCAGTAGTAGATGATGATGGTGTCTCAGGCTTGCTGCAAAGAAGGAAGAGGAAGCAGCCAAGCCCAAGGTCTATGTCCCTGCCTATTTGCAGAAGATGGTAATGCTTTGTATGGGAGGCACATTGTTTTGTCAGCGTGTGTGGTGATTGTATCAGCGCGATCAAAAGAAGGCCCAGGAGGCGAAGGAGCGCATCAGAGATGAAGGCTTGACGCCAGCTCAGATGATGGAGTTGGAGAAGAAGAAGAAGTTGGCTCAACAGGAAGCCGAGAAGAAACAGGCTAAGAAACAGGTAATAGGGTGAAGAATAAATGTATGTTCTGATCTGGGTTCGTCAGGCAGCGGCTGCTAGTGCTGCCAGTGAGGAGAAGAAGAGGCAAGAACGTGAGGAGGCTCAACGTCGTAAGGCTGAGCTGAAGGAACAAGTCAAGAAGGCTATGGCTGCTGGTACGTACCACTCAGTGTCTTCGATGCTTCCGTCCTATTCGATTCTCGTTGCCTTCAGAGGTTTCATCCAAACAAAGCACGCCTGAGGTCACTGCTAGCAAGGCTGACGGCAGCGCTCCTTATGAACAGCTCATCGCTAAGTAACGATTCTCTCGTCAGTGTTGTGTCCAGCATTGTCTCATTAGGTACAATTGCAGAGAGCGAAGACCGGTGAGGCCCCATGCTGAGTTGGATCCCTGCTTCCTACCTCCTCTGCAGAAAACAGCGTAGGCATCTCTTCTTACAGTTTCTAGACAATTCTTCATTGTACACACTTCGCTACTGTTGCCTCCTTCACTTATCGACGTATCTGTGACGTGTGTAGTGTGTTGAGCTTTAGTTATTGTGTCAATTACACCAGTCTATCGGCTGTCCCCTTTTACCAACTATCTGTCATAGTTGGGCTCAGCTTTATTTTTGTACGCGTCGCGATTACGTGAGCCTCACGTCGTGAAAGTTTGTCATGTTGTGCTCGCTAGTGGAGACAATCTCAGCCCTATTTGTCTTATAGCTCGCTGCTTGCTTCTATATCAGTGTTTGGATCAGACTGGGAACCAGGGGTCGTTGCAAAACTGACTATAGTAAACCACCATATCGCCATTGATGATGCCCGAATTACTAACGGCTGGAAGTAGCGAACTCAGTTCCTAGATGATGATGGCATTCTGAAAGGCTTGCCGGATTCCCGGACGGGAATGACTATTGTGCTCTGCAGGTGTCAAGCCGGTGATGAGAGCTTCATACTGTGTTGTCACTGTGCTTACTCGACTTGCCTTTGACTGTGCTTGGCCTCCAATGAAAACAGTATGCACAGTGCTTGGTGCAGTTGGTGTCTTTGGCCACGGTGGAGACAGAGCATCCCTGTAGTCTTCAATTTTATGGTGATGCTATCAGCGCTGACACAGTACTCGCTGGTGACTATCTACACCTTTTCAATCTCAAATTCAACAATTGAAAGAACAAATTAGGTGAATGAAGTTTGATTTTCGACAAGTGAAAGATGTTTTTCGTGAAATGAAAGTTCAAATTCGAAATGAAAGTTCGATTTTCGTAGACCGGTTGAAAATGAAAGTTCAAATTCGTAAATGAAATTTATGAATTCGGAAACGCAAGTTCAAATTCGTCGAACACAAGACCAATTTCGACCAATGAAAGCTCACTTTCATTCGATGGAAGGAAATTCTCGTCAGCGTCGTGCCACGGATTGTGACTTGCAACTAGCAAGTTTCGAGTGCTGATGGTGCTCTACGGACTGCGCTGTAATGTTGAACAGTTAAGTGCAATTCACAAATTTGCAATGTAGGACTTTCAGAGATTCAAACCTGGACATTGTTCGGGTTTGATTCTTTAATGGAGAATCTCCATTGCCCTTCCGATGACATCGGAAGGATAATGGGGTCGGCACATGTTCGGTTGGGTTTCCGAACCGACCAACCGGAGTCCGGTTGGGCGGTTCGGGAGTCCGATTACCGGACTATCCGAACCGAATTTTGATCGACCGACCGAATACCGATTCGGTATTCGGTTTCCCCGGTGATCCAACATTGAACGTTCCAGAGAACGTTACTCGTGAATCTCACTCTGTGCAATAACTGTTCGCATTTGAGAAGTACTTCGAGCAGTCCTCGCACGTTGTGCAAGTCGTCAACTCGTGGTGTGAATAGCGCATATCGAGATGTGGTGAAAGTGAGCTTTCATTGGTCGAAATTGGTCTTGTGTTCGACGAATTTGAACTTGCGTTTCCGAATTCATAAATTTCATTTACGAATTTGAACTTTCATTTTCAACCGGTCTACGAAAATCGAACTTTCATTTCGAATTTGAACTTTCATTTCACGAAAAACATCTTTCACTTGTCGAAAATCAAATTTCATTCATCTAATTTGTTCTTTCAATTGTTGAATTTGAGATTGAAAAGGTGTAGTCTGCTGTTAAGGAAATCTTGGCATGTCTATTTTCCAGTCAGAGTTCTTTATATCCGCGAGCGATGGGGGTGTCATCAGTGGCACTATGGGAGGCTTCCATGGCGAGGTCATCATGCCTGGTGCAACTTCAAGGAGATTGGAACTATTCTCAGATGTGGGAATTCAGAGAGTCAGGTCTTCCGTAACTCGTAATGATGACGTTGAATAGCAGAGATCAGCGCGGGTGTAAGTCATTAGCACGCGTCGGCTTGTCTCAGTTCTTGATGAGGAGACAATGTTTGTGTCGCGCGTGCTAATTTGGTGACCCCTTTCGGGTGTGGCAATCTAGCCAGAGGACTCACCGCGGTTCTCAGAGGTTTATTTTTTTCTGTTCCCCAGAATGTTATCATTCACTCAAGTCGCCAAGTGCTTTGTGCCAAGGGTCAGTGTCCTCGGGGCTTTCCATCGCAGCTTCGCTTCTTACGCGGGATACAAGAACATTTTGGTCGACGTTGATGTCCAAAAAGGGACAGCCTTGGTGACGTAATAAAAGTTGGGAAAGCTTTTCGTGAGTTAGCTGTATTTCCCGACTAGGTTGAACCGTCCAAAGTCCCTCAACGCTCTATGTGACGACCTCATGAAGGAGCTGAGCTCTGCCACCAACGCGCTTGACAAAGATGATGCCATCCATGCTATCGTCATCACTGGAGCTGGAGAAAAAGCGTTCGCTGCTGGTGCTGATATCAAGGAGATGAATAGTCGACAAACTATGGCTGAGGTTTACAAGCAGAACATGCTCGCCTTTTGGCAGGATCTAGCTAATGTCAAAAAACCAGTTATTGCAGCCGTGAACGGCTATGCTTTGGGTGGAGGCTGCGAGCTCGCCATGATGTGTGATATTGCTCTTGCGAGTGAGAAGGCGGTATTCGCACAACCGGAGGTGAGTCCTCTGTCGTATTTATAGTTAGGACCCGATATTTGCAGGTCACATTGGGTACTATACCCGGTGCGGGTGGTAGTCAACGTTTAACTCGTGTGGTCGGGAAGAGTTTAGCTATGGAACTTTGTTTAACTGGCAGACACATGCCGGCAGAAGAAGCGCTTAGGAGAGGCCTCGTATCGCATGTACGCTCTGAGCCCTTTCGAAAAATGGCAAGTCGAGAGCGGTTCGCAATCCATCTGAGCCTCAGGTCTATGCTTCGGAGGAGCTCGTTCTCAAAGCGCTCGAGATGGCCGAAAAAATAGCCTCCTCCTCAGCTCCTGCTATCGCGATGACGAAGGAAGCAGTTAACCGCGCTTATGAGACAACACTCGCTGAGGGACTGAGGTGAGTACAGTTCGCGATGTCCACGACAGACGTTCGGTCTAGTTCTAGGCGGGGGAATTTTGGCTTCTCGCTGCCGAAGTTTTGCTGACCAGTCGAATCATTGAGTTAACGATCATACTATGAGTTGATTATCCATATGACAGTCATACATGTATCTCCATGTATCATCACCTGGAGTTCGTGCTACGAGCTCCGGTATTATCCGCAGACTGTAAGTCGCGGTGGGGCCGCAGCATAGCTTGGTCTGGCTGGTTCGTCAGATGCACAGGCTTCGATCTGGACTTCGTGATATCACCCCATGAGCCGATCCCATCGGGGTGCCCAATTTGGGGGCCGATGTTAACTATTGAAATTCATGAGTGCTTATCTGCCCGAAGATGACTTATTCATCCTCGGGCATGCACGATAAGCACCCCCAAATAGGGGAGTGTCACGGCCGAAATGACGTTGCGGCCACATCATCGAATTTGGTGATCTAGACCATTCTGCACCTCGAAGATGGATTATCCAGTATTGGCGTCCAAGTTGGATACCAACTACGGCGTACGCCGTAGACAAACTCTATACGGCGTAGACTCTACGCCTACAGCGAGTGGCCGAGATAGGCGTATGACCAAGATTAGTAGGATACTCAGAGTATCCTACTAATACTAGAGTTCATACTCTATCTGATGAACAGTTGTAGAGTATTCACTATCGAAGGTCTACCGGTTGTCTGGCTATAGACGTCTTTCGCCGTATGGTCTGGGCCTCCAACGTCGAGCTTGGTACGGTTATTCCTAGGGAGTACATTCCAGGGAGAGTCACGGAACGAAGAATGCCGCTGAGTCATTTCACAGCCCAGTGAAGAAACTATTCGGGCACAGTGACCCGAACATACAGCGTCCCTCAGATTTGTATGTATCTTACTGTTAAGACGACGCGGATAATACTTATCATCCAGAGACCCCCGACAAGGGTCTTTTCAGACATTGGTCTGATGTGCATGACAGAATCGGTCGCACATACTCTGTTAACAATGTCTTCAAGCTCGAGCGGAAGGCATGATTAGCAATCACTGGACATATTCCAGGAATGTCTAAGTGTGTCATCACTCGGCTCAACCAAGTTTGTTATTCTATTATCCAGGTGTAATTGAATGGTGACAATGCTACATTGTGATGTTGGAGTTGCGAGATGGGGGCTCTTTCATGGGGGGCTTGAGGGAATCATTGCCAATGATTCATTGGCTTGCGCAGCGCAATCTAGCCGAGCAGCGCCTCAAGTCTTGTGGTGTTTAGCCTGATCCTTCACTTCCGGGCAATGAGACTCGTTATTGACGAAATAGACAACGCCGCATTGCCACTGCGTCATCGGGAACATTCTAGCTGGCACAATTGATAATTCGTGATAGCCTACCACGAATTGTCAACTGTGATCAATTGATTATTGATACCTATGACTGATAGATATCCTACAATGTGTTTCGGTTTTTATGATCAGATTCGAACGAAATATGTTCCACGCAACCTGGGCCTTGGAGGATCGCAAAGAAGGCATGACCGCTTTCGTTGAGAAACGCCAAGCACAGTGGAAGAATCAGTGATTGCCAGTTTCGTGTTCGCACATCTATGACCTGTTTCAATATCGCCGATAACGATTAGCCATAGACTCTATGGCATTGAGGTGTTGTGTATTTCAATCGTACTGAAGAGTGGTTCTTCTGTGAACGTCTCTAGCGTGGCGGCAATCCCGTTGACGATTTGACAATACTCGTTAGCTCTTGTTTTTCGAGTTTCAGAGTTTGAGTCCCGGTTGCCATTTATATGGCTCTATCCCTAAGTCGAAGGTGTCTGGGAGGCAATGCTGGCACTATAAGCTTCCGTAGCCGTGCTGGGTCTACCGCACCGGCTCCTAAGGAACCGTCTGAAAAGATGAACATGTTTATGGCTATCAACTCTGCAATGACGGTCGCAATGGAGGAGAATCCGAAAACTGTGGTGTTCGGTGATCCATCCCATCTCCGAGTTGTATTGACGGAATTGTGGATCTGCAGGTGAGGACGTCGCTTTCGGAGGAGTCTTCCGCTGTACAGTCAACATGCGAGAGCGATTTGGCCCTGAACGAGTGTTCAACTCTCCGCTTACAGAGCAGGTGAGACTGTTGGCAGCGGTATTGACTGCTGGCTCAACGGTTAGAATGCTGTAGGGTATTGCTGGATTTGCTTTCGGGATGGCCGCCACGGGAGGGCACGATGTCATTGCTGAGATCCAATTCGCTGACTATATATATCCAGCATTCGACCAAATCGTCAACGAAGGGGCTAAGTAAGACTTGTGGAACACTAGTGCATACTTCCGCACCGATTCGAGGTATCGCTACCGCTCATCGGGTGCTTATCACGTCGGAGGTGTCACCTTCCGTGCTCCCTCTGGTGCGGTCGGTCATGGCGGGCTATATCACAGTCAGAGTGTTGAAGCTTTCTTCGCTCACTGCCCAGGGATCAAAGTCGGAACCGTTGTCCACAGAGACCTTTGGGCTGAGTGTGGTTTCAGGTTGTCATACCGCGTTCAGCACTACAGGCTAAAGGTCTACTCCTTGCGTGTATCAGAGATCGAAACCCATGCGTTTTCTTTGAACCCAAGGCCCTTTACAGAGCTAGCACTGACGATGTGCCGACTGGGGACTTCGAATTACCTCTGGGCGTAGCTGACATTGTTAAAGAGGGTACCAAGGACGAGTTCAATCCCTAGGACGCGAGTGCCGTCTTGCAGGATCTGATATAACGGTTGTCGCCTGGGGCAATCAAGTTCATAGATGTATAGATGCCGCCGATATGGTCTCGAAGGAAGGTATATCAATAGAAGTGAGTTAATCTGCTATCTCTCGATTGAATCGAATCGATTCAAATGGTTCCGCTTGTCATAGGTGGTGGACCTGCAGACTATCATCCCCTGGGATCGCGAGGCAGTAGTGAATTCAGTCAAAAAGACTGGGAGATGTGTCATCGCCCACGAGGCGCCTCTCACTAACGGCTTTGGTATGGCATTGAGCATCAGGCGGGTCTTTCATCGTCACAAAAATCAAACATGGTGTGATGTCTCACGTGATCTGTTGTCATCCTATTAGGTGCCGAAATCGCGGCTAGGGTACAAGCCGATTGTTTCCTATCATTATTGGCTCCCGTTAGCCGCGTGACTGGCTTTGACACACCTTTTCCCTTGGCTTGGGAGGAGTTCTACGTGCCCAATAAACATCGTGTTGCCGATGCGATTAGAAGCACAGTCAATTTTTGAAGGCGAAGGCCCTCCATGGAGTTTTCCGACATGAAGTGATATCGAGTTCAGAGTTTTGACTCAAAACTTTTGAAGGCATTTTACGTCAAACACGGGGGAACATAGTGATAGTAACTTCTGTGCCCTGGTTGGAGTTCGATGGTGTTCGAAAGAGCGAGTGAGAAGTTCCAGTGAATTGATTCCCAGTTAGTCGATCGTCCTTAAGGCGCCTCTTCGTAATCAGAATTTCGTCGATGACGTTCTCGTCCAGGCCGAGTCCCACCATTGTCTCCTGGAAGCAATCAACGTGATAATTCGTGACATCGAGGCTCTTTGGGATCTGAGTTAGGTCTCGACCTTTAGAAAAACTCGACAACTTTTCTCCCTCCACCGTTGTAGATCTTGGGACATCCGAGTAGCTTAATGAAAGATTAGTATCAGACCGTCTCGAATTCTTTTCTATGGGGGGTCACTGAAGAAATGGTACTTTATGCGGGCATCACCAAGCACTGTCATCTGTAATCACTACGATGTGTACAAAGACTGCGGGCCGCAGGATATTCACACAGAATATAGGTAGCTCGAGGCCCTCGAGTCGAGTGTACCATCCCCCAACATCGTTGAATAGGTGATGAAGGCCTACAAGTTCATCATGCGTTTCAACCCGACAAACAACGGGACAGAGAATTGTCAATGCGATACAAGCACTCTGAATACCAACGGGTTTGACATCCTTCACGCTGCTGATAGTGGCAGGCCCGCTCACGCTCTACCACTCTTGATGGCACCCACAATGCTCAGCCGATCATCACCCTACTGATGCGATCCCGACCCATCGGCACTTACAACATGTCATATCGAGCTTTCACGTATAATGACGGATAATGATGTGCTCTATCTAGCTTAAATTGATTTACTCCCCTCTCCAAAAGGCATCGTATGTTGGTAGCACTCAACACCGTGTGGAGGTAACAATGAGAGAAAACGTTTAGAAGCGTTGACGCATCGAGCATGACTACTGCCGAAATGAATCTGCGACACAGAACTGCTCAGAACTTTATCATAATTATCATCACAATCAAACTTAATCATAGTAATGCTATCGCGAGACTCTAAGTCAACGATCTCGTTGGAAATGTCAAACTTGAGGAGTGCCTCCCTCCATACTTGACCACAGAACTAATGTCTGCTGAACAACCTTGGGCCACAGAATCCTGAATCACATCACAACAATATGAATGCCTAAGCTGCCGGTGAAATTTTTACTCGCTAATTTATCGTAAATGAGCATCTCGCACACATCACACAGGCGCGTGAACCGTCGAATGACTTACCCGTGTTTTCGGGAGGCCACATGTCAACACTTGAGCTCCTCGACTGCAAATTCTCTGCAGGAAGGCCGAGGATAGCACCAAGTTCATTTTTTATTCGAAGTCGGGATCTATCATCTCTTTCATTAACGTCCTCAGTCACATTGGCAACCGCTGTGACCAGCAATGATAACCTTCGCTCCATGTTCTTGTCACCAGCTCCGACGCTTCTCGACGTGCGAAGGTGTGCCAAGGGATTGCTTCGACGAAGTCGCTCTATTGTCATGAGAATCCTGGACTCTTCCTCGCGGTGAACCTCTGTCACTGTAGGCATACGGCGTAGTTGAGCCGAGTCCAACGGGGCGGCGATGGTCCCGGGCGAGTCAATCCACTTCCGTCGGACTTCATACACCAGGGACCTCGCTTGGCGCACAGACAGAGCGTCCCCTCTATGAGCGGGCGACAGAGAAATGCCACGAATGAGGCCCTCGAGAATGATGATTTTATCATACCATGCGGCTTGCTCTAGAATACGACCAGGTTTAGCAGAGCTGGTGACCTTCGAAATGGCCTCAACAATGCCATCGTCGAGCAGCATCTGCAGTGTGTTACGTCTCTCACACGTCGAGTCCTCAGCAGTGACCACCCAAACCAGCATTCTTGCCAAACAACCAGATAGCTTCTCTTTATACCTCGTATTCTTTCCACAATCATTCTCGCTCACTAGTGGCACCGTCGCTGAGGAGGAGCTTTTGCCAGGGCGGTCACCAATGACGAATCGTAACGCGCGTTTGAGGAAGCCTTCACTGTGACTACGGACAACTGCTATTGGCTTGACCAATGACCAAGAAGCCCCAGACCACGCTGAAGCCTGCTCTTGCATCACATCATACAACAGACCAACACGAGGAATTGCAAAGTCAGCAGTGATCCGAAGAATTGCTTCAGCGGTAGCCCTTCTAGTTCTAGCGAGGCATCGGGTACAGATCTCATCGCTTGGACTAGGTTGTTCTTTCAGTGAGTACACCCCCCGCTGTGCCGACTTTCGGCAACATTCAGGGACATACAAGGCGGCTTGCTCGATGAGGAATTTGTTGGCCTTGAAGACGTTCGTGGGATCCATAGGCGCTAAGTACTTCTTCCCCACAGCCGAATTGCAAGTGCTGCACTTGACATCACACACGACATATCTTCCTGTTGTGAAGGTTGTAGTATATGCGAGCCTCTCCTCGACTATCATGGGATGCATGACCCAGTCAACGAGGAAAGCCGGTCCTCTTCCACCGTGATAATTGTCGCTTAGAATAGCACAGTTCACAAGAACAGGCGAATGACATACCGCACAGTAGAAGACCATCGTATTAGGTAAGCCATTGTTCAGACCAACAGAGACACTTCGAATACGATCACCACCAACAGCTTCATCAGGATCTTGGCTGCACAAAGCGATCTCACGTGCCTCAGGAGTTCGAATAGTCGCAGGGCGCATAAGATGCACCGACGGCAGCTGAGCGAGAGCTTCCATATACCGACTAAACCTCGACATGCAGAATTCCGAGGCGTCGGTCGTCTTACAGATATCGTCAGGCGTGGTAACCATTCGGTGTAGTAGAAGTCGTATTCGTTGAAGCATGGCTCTATTGACCAACGCGAGGGCCATGAGCTCAAGAGGGGTGTCGAGGGCATACACCAAGACTATCTCATCAATCACGTCTTGAGGAAGATCTTCCCAACACAGACACCCTTTAGACCGAGGCATACACAGAGGACTGTCGAAACTACTACAGCTGGTAGCGGTAGTAGAATATGACGAGTTGGACATCATTGAACTGTACTTAAATAGTCAGAGCTCCACCTCACAGTTAGAGTGATCCCTATGGCAACTTACAAACAAAAGCGACACTTTGTGGTGAACAACAGCAATCTCATGAGCACAGTTCAGTCCAAAGACTTCAATTGCATAATAAGTTCTCTCTGTCTGTCATTTATCACTTCAGGGAATTTAATGTTGAAATGAATGACCAAATCGCCAACACCGCCACCCTGTCGAGGTGCGCCTTTGCCTAAGAATCTTCTAGTGGTAGTTGCCGTCACTACTTCATCTATCGGAAGCCTCAGGATTGCCCCCGATACCAGGTCAGGGATCTCCACATTCACACCGAGAAGGCAGTCCCAAACACAGACATCCTCATCATAATGGAGGTCACCAGAGCCCTCAGAACACAAGGTGAACCCGTCTTGAGGACCAAACCTCACAGTGACCAACAGTGGCCCCGGTCTGGAAGCCCCTGGCTCTTCAAGTCCCATGCCCTCATAGCGCATGACCGAACCATTGACGGTGCCAGGCGGGATAGTAACTTTAAGCTCACGGCCTTGATCTAGTTCTATCGTCTGACACACGGCCATTCCCGGCGTTCAGGACACAAGGAGATTACTTACTTTGGTGACCCCTGCCACAGCCTCCCGTAGGGTAATGTCTAGCACACGGTTAGCAGCAGGGCCTTGGGACTCGGCTGCTATTTTGATGCTCTCCTGCTTCTCACGTATGAGGTCAGCGAAAGGCGAGTACGAACCGAAGAAGGCCTCATAGACCTCCATAGCGTCGACCTTCACTGGAGAACCTAAAGGAGTGTTGAGTTGTACTACAGTGAACAGCGGCCACCTTCCAAGACGGTCCCCGCAACGCCATAGAGGAGACCTTCATGGCCGTAGCGATCATAGACAAGTCGACTTTGAGAATCATTCAGGACCGAATAGGCCTCCGCCGCTAGCTGGAATTGGGATGCGGCATGAACGCGTGAGCCTGAAGGACGGTGAGCTCTATGCTATTATGGCGATGAAATCGATTTCAGGATAACCCTACAGAAAATACTAAAGTCCAAGAATGAAAGTAGTTCTAGTGGATGTAGAGTATCAAACGCCTCTCCCTACTTTCAGGATATTTGTCTGGGTGCCACTTGAGAGCAGCGAAGCGATAGCCATTGCATATTTTACCTAACATGAAGTCCTCGACCACACATGCCCGGCGTATCGGGAGCTACTCTGGGAGGCCGCACGAGGCACATCTAGGACAGCGTAGTAGTCTGGTAGCTTCAAACTCCTGGTGCCGAAAGGGATATCCCCGACAGCTCCGACTAGCTCAGTCGAGAAAACCTCAGGTTGAGCCTCGGCAGAAATCGACATTATACAGTTGGACAGGCCTTGCCTCGAATTCACAATGCGAACTGATTGAACACCAAGGGCCCGTCACGCGCCACAAAATACAAGAGTCTATTTCGGGGAGACGAAGACTCCTGATAAATTGTACAAGTGCATATACTGTGCCAGGAACCGTTACTGCACAATCACTTCTAAGTGGTTCGGTAAATCGATTAGGATTTCGCTGAACTCTGTGCCACGCTGTGCATCGCAGCAGTTGACTATTAGTATAGTCAACTCGGCTACCCTCAGTGAAGGTCCATCATCAACACGTAAACTACGTGCCAGTGAGGTTACGTGAAGCAACCGATGTGGCGAACTCGGCTGACCACTGGTTTGAATGCACCTTATATAGGCTTAGCTGTGGAGAGGCAATAAGTGCTACTTGTGGTTGATATTACACGACGTCTTCAAAACTACTAGAGAGGAGACAGGTGGGAGTTGAAGCCGTGGACAGACCGTCAGGACTCGCGTGTGCGGAAAGTGCAGAAAGCGCACGCCAAAGTGATCGATTTGACAACGTTGTTGCACGACTTGGCATTCTAGTACGTCTTTTCAGCTGACTCGTCAACTTACTACTGTTATAATAATCTCATGAAAATGCAACCCGTCAGTGACAGTGCTGCGATGACTACACCAACACTTTCCGGACAGTCCCCGACCAAGGGGGACGACAGAAGGCGAAGGAGCCCTAGGAAAGCCAGTAACGATAAATTCGATAAGACCAATATGGAACCGGTAGAATACGTGGGGAGGCATTACTAGCGCGAATAGATGGAATATACTTCCTTTGTTTTCAGCTCTCACCAGAGTCGTACCCCCGAGGGCATTCAGGGTCCCCACTAGCGTCGTATACTGGCCTGGTGACTCCACTCAATAGGCCCTGTAGGGCAGCATCATCCTCTATTGGTCACACCACCACAGCAGGGGGAGGGGGCTTTGGCTCACTATATGGCGGTAGTCCCAGTACCAGTGCTGGCCTGCCGTCTCCTCCTCCTGTTAGAAGTATCTCCTTCAATGGTGCTAGCGAGGCTATGCATCATCATCACCATCAGGGAGGGTTAGTTCCCCCTGGTACTGGTAAAAGGTCAAATTCGAGGTCGGGCTTTCGTATTTTTTGCCGTGTGGATTGCCGTGCATCTCCTCAAAGACCGATCCCATCTAGAGAGGCCGTCTGTGATTACTTCAGCTACTTCGGTTCAATTCTGGATTGCTATCTACCAGAGTCGGCCACCAACGTTGCATACGTATGCTTTGAGGACAGCCAGTCTCTTGAGGATGTCATGGCACAGGAGCGCCCTCACGTTGTAGAGGGGACCCAACTCACCGTCACTAGGGCCCAACCTCGCCCAGACTACTCGGTCAATACTGATAGAATATTTGTCAAACACGTGCCAGACAGTGCCACCAGATTGGATCTGCGTGCTTACTTTAATAACTTTGGTGAGGTCACGGACGTCTACATCCCGAAGGATAAAGCCACCGGTGCCCAGCGTCGCTTCGCCTTTGTCACATTCCGTGATGTACGCTCGGCTAGAGCGGCTCTAGGAGCGAGCACGCATGTGATACATGACCAAGAGGTTCAGGTTATGCCAGCTGAGGCCCGTCCACAGTCGACATCAACTTCGACCTCGATGGTTGGTCATAGTTCCCCACACACTCGTCCATCTCCAGTGATGGAACCCTACAATCGAACTATGAGGAGTCAAACAGACTCCATGGTATTGCCCGCCTCTATAAGTAGCAGTACTACTACTACGACTACTGGGAGGAGACCCTCGACACCGTTGGTGCCTCTTCTACCGGCACCTCGGTCCGATGGGTTCAATTCTATAGATGAGGGCTGTATCGAAACGGTCCCATCATGGCAATATTCGCAGCCAACGAGGGCCGCAGAAGTGAACAGAAATGAACCCACGGACGATATGGGTGATGACGCCCACATGGTGTCTTTGGCGACGTCGGTTAGTCACTTACTGGACAGCAGTCCGAGTAGTATGGGAGGAGGCAGTGACGAGGAAGCCGGCAATCACAGCCCTGAGAAGCTGCTGAAGGAAAGCCTCAGGAGGACAGTGGATGTGGAGGATCAGGTGAGGCACTAAAGTGATCGATAGCGGCGTCGTTCTGTGCGTTGTTGCTAGTGTTTGGTGAGAGTCAGTTTCCTATGTATTCATATCAAATAGTAATTATGATGATGAAGTTTCACCCGTTTTACGTGAAGTGGTGTGATACTCTGTGAAAACCCGTATGCAGTTGTTTGTGAAATATGTTTTTTACTAGTGTTTTCATATCACGGGTGAAACTCCAACATACATCTAGTACTACAGTGATTGGAAATAAATAGTATATTATTAATACTATGTGGTTGGTTATACGTAAAATAGGATTTATTACTACTACATTGGAGTTGCACCCGTGGTATGAAAAAGACTAGTATATTTAACGACTGCTGCAAAGCGCGAATATCGGGTTCCTTACCGCGTATCACACCAAACGTAACACAGAGTAATCCTTTCAGGTTGCACGTCGGTCTCTGGAGTCACCCTTTGCCAATGCGATGTCACCGTTGTTGAGCTTTGAGGAATTTGTTCCGGCCCAACTGCCCCCTGCGGTCATTCGAGACGGTCACCAAACCCCAGCCGTGTCGAGATCGCCGTTCGTCCTGTAGAAGTCGGCCCAGTCGACTTGGCACCAGAGCCTCGGGTTGTTGATTACTGATACACTGTCTTGTAGTGGTCTTTTGAGAGGGTATAGTAATAATTATAGTGGCAGTATATGTAGCTACTGCTATGGTGGTTAATCATGGAAAGAGGAGTCTATTGTGATCATTTTCTGTCTCTATCATTGTCGAACTCATACTACTACTGCTGCTGTTATTGTTCTAAAACTATCATAAAACAAGAGACGTCGTACTACTACTGCTACTCTAGTTGGTCCTTTCATATAGAAACTGTCCGGTCGATACGGTCGTATAGTATTCAACTTTTTCGTCCATAGCTACGATTGATCATTGATGCCAAGATTTGTGGTCGGTTGAGATCGCAAGCCTCACTGATGTCTTACTGCTATTACTTCTATTACCATTGCCACACTGTCTTCGTAGAAGCTTCTCATTTTCGACTCGGTAGTGTTTGTTGAAAATCACTCCCTGTTTGAAAAATTCTGATGTGCGAAACATGCCCCTTTTTCTACGGTTCGGTACACATACTTGTTGTTCACTGGAGCTGCTATATTCCCGCTAAGTTTTTTTTCTCGCCGACGTCTTCAGTCTTTCATCCAGGAAAGCGTCTCGTACTCAGGAAGATGTTTGTATTTTGGTGGTGCTGGCTGTCTGAAAATAGTCATCATCATCAGTAGACTAGGAGGCTTTTGAAGTCACTACCATTTGAGTTGCGACCCTTTCTTAAATGAGACTGATTACTGCTGTCGTCATAAATTCATTGTTAGTATCGTCAACGTGTATGCCGTCCCGGCATTGCTTTTGCCAGTTTTTCCTGTACCCTTATTCCATGTATTATATATTGATGATCATCTAGTAAGGTAGCCTCGGTGATGACGGCCATGAATGGGTCGTGTGTGGGGTCAGTCTGGTGTGGTCGTGGTTGGTAGTGGTAGTAGTAGTAGAATTTTATATACTGATTTCATATGGTTGGGAGGAAACAGTCTTGATCCTGTTGTCATTTGCTTCGGCAAACTGCTCATATGGTATGGTTCATATTCACATCTGCTAGTCTATAATGTTATCGTATCCTTTTGTGTAGAAGGGCTATACTGAGTAGCCATCGGAGCAATAGAAGTGAACCATTTCTCGCAATCATATCTCACTCTGCGTCATTATCTTAGACAGTGTTTTGGTATTACCACAACGGTTTCGAAGTATCACCATATGCATTGCGTTAGATAGTTCACGAGGGAAGCACACAGCGTTGAAGACTGACGATGTCGTTGTCACGATGCAGCACGAGTGGTAACAGTGATGTAATTGCTATCGTATATGTTCAGAGTGTATTTCCTGATAATGCCTGTGGACCCCGAATACCTCCTCGGTCAGGCAGCTGTCGAGAGACGTCGTGAGAGGAAAAGGCGTTCCTATCGTCGACTGGCTCTACGCTGTAGTTGCCTTATCTTGGTTGTACTCATCGTTGTCTGCATTGGTGGCTTTGGCGTCGCGGTCACCCAAGCGTTACATGCTCATGATGTGGAGTTGCTTGACAAAAGAAATGTCACTGCGTCTACTATACAGTACACGTTAAACTATACGTATGAGGGCCACATAAGTCCTGGGCAGTGGATCAAGTACGAGGCGCCCTCTGAGCGAGTTCGTAACTATTCCCCAGTTTCCACCGACGATAGCAATGTGACCATGCTTGCCGTCAAAGTCCGTACTGGCGTGTCATTGGAAATGGCTGAGGACGTCTGGCCCGGTTCTATGATGCACATTTCCGGTCCCTTCCCTCCTCTACCCAGCCTCCTCCGCAGTCTGGACACGTCAGCCCATAGAGTCGGCTTCTTCTGCTTTGGTGGTGC